CCCTTCAAAACATGTTCAGCACACTGGCTTCTCTGATGGCCACTGTACATGAGACGTCGACAGAAGATTCACCAAACGGTTTCCACAGCTAAAATCAAAATTGAAAATGTTCCCCATGAAAGCTTTACATAAAATGTGTTTTTCTTCTAGTTGTTTTCTACAGTGTGATGTTTGAATGATGACTGTGCAGTGTTTGACACTAGAAGGTTGTTTTCACATTCATCTGCTGAAAGTGGAAAGTTTCTCTGAGATCATTGGAAATCTGATTTTAAGGGGCGGGGCCTACGAGCAGGATTTGTGACATCACAAATAGTTTGGAAGGCAGTCCTGGTCCAGTGTGTAACTTATACAGAGTGATGTAGAAAGCTGAAGTGCACATACACTGAGAATAGACTTTACAGTGAAGGAGGAGACATCTTATGTGCAGCAGTAAAACTTTAGAGATGAGAAAAATATGCATATTATATTATATGGAAACAAGTTTTTTAAGAAAATTATACTTGTTTTGCAGAAAAAAATACATCAGACACACTTTATTGTTCTGTGCAGACTATATATATATATATGTTTGTGTGTTAATACATATCTGGAGGGGATCTTTAAAGATAGTTTCCACAAAATATAGTGCACAGTAAATCAATCACAATGAAGGAACATTACAGCAAAGTATGCCCTCAGAGACTAATCATATGCAACGAGGTGTCCTGATATATGGAGACAAGGCAGATGCAGAGAACATTATTCCCACTTCTGGTTTGTTATTTCCTTTATCCACACACCCTGTATCAAAGGCATTAGTTTTGATGGATTTTAAATGGGATATTCCTTAATTCTATTAAGTGGTGGAAGTGGATTCTTTTTCATATAAGACACAGTAATTATAGAATGATTGATGTTTAGGTTTAATCTGTCTTTATTCCTTTTGGTTTGGTAAAGTTTTCATTTGTCTTTCAAAGAAAGGCACAAGCCGAACATTTCAAACATTTATCCAGTTTTTACTTCTGCGTTCGCCTTGTAGTTTATAGATTTTTCTGACAACACATTTTCCAAAGACCTTTGTAATCCTACCAGTGTATTTATTTTCCTCCCAAAGCACAAATATGTGGATAGATTTTTACCAAATCACAATTTCTTTTGTAATCTTTCCACACACATGCACCCCTAGTGAGAAATCACTACCACACATTGTATTATCTCACTTATAATGTTAACCCTTACCAAAGGAAGACAAGGTAGGATGCATTAATATCATAACCTGTCTTTATATTTGTATTATTAAAGATTAGGTGCCTTATTTGAGGGCTACTATCCCCTATATAACCCAACATCATTAAAGCACTGCTTCCATGGTTAACTTCGCCTTAATATCCCACCACTGTTCTGTTAATGAACGCCTTCCAACCAATCAGAAAGCTGGTATTTACTGATAATATGGCCTACATTATTATGAGGGCACAGTGGAGTTCATGTTTGGCTGTTTTTCTCCTCACTCCTCCAATTTCGTTAATGGTTGATACAAACTCAAAAAGTTTGAGAGCCGCTGATTTACAGCTTGTAGTGGCTTAAGTTGGCGCAGTTCCTTTGAATTACAACACAATTCAATAAACAGAGCTGCTTTCTTTAGCAAAGAGGATGAAGCTCACTCAGGTTAGGTTTGCTGAAGATGCTGGAGGTAATATTTGAATCTATCCATCAATAACCTGCCATTACCTGGAGCTCTCAAGGCTTTGGTACAACTCTTGTTGTGAAACATTTTGTGGCTGTCAGCGGCAGCTTTGGTAATTAGTTTTCGGTATGACTGTGTGGATTACGCCGTTTTGAGGCTTCGTGGTGCTGGGTTGGCACAACAGAGTGCTCTCAAGTTGTCTCTCTCACATACACACACAAACACAGGGCTATAATCTTTCCCCATGCTGATCAATAAACCTGATAAGAACTCCATCCTGCCAGCTGGCAGTGACTAATGCTTCGGCAGACTCCTGAGGGTCGAGTGCTGCCTGTGTATGAGAGAGAGAGAGAGAGAGAGAGAGAGAGAGAGAGAGTGGTACCTGTAGTGGCCACAAATCAAGAGAACTCAAGAGAAATACAAGTCAAGGGGAGATTGAGCTGCCAGTTCTATTTCCATATAAAGCAGTAGCTACATCAATATTCTTTGTACTGTTATATCATCTTTTATGACTTCTTTAGCCTAAAACAATAACAGTAATTCATTTAAAACTGATCGAAACCTTATGACAGCATAGTGCTTTTATAGAGACCATGTATTTGAAAATTGGAATCTCAGATATCAGCGATGTTGAATCCCCAAAAGCAGCATTAAGACCATAGACGTACTAAGAACTAGATATTGGACGCCGAGATGGAGCATGTTCAATCCAGTGAGAATTGCATGCCTGGGGCGCAGCATGGAGAACTGGATACAGCGTTGGAGGCGGGCTCCGTTCAGTCTTAAGCTGCTCAGTGGCGCTTAAAGCCAAAAAAGCCACTTCCTGCTGTAAAGGAATTACCAGGATGAATACATACTGCACAATGCATCTGCATATGGCAGGGGTCTCAATTTATTTTGGGGCCACAGCTGGTATAGTCATCTCATAGGAGGGCCACTTCAGTGTTCAGATACGACAAGAAAGTGCAATATTCAGAACTTTTCCATTAGTAACACCTTGCTTACAGCAGTCTCTATACATTTTTATATCATCATTTTATATCCAGAAGTGGAACACACCATTTTTACCCAAGTAAAAGTACAGATACAACTTCTTTACTCAGGTAAAGGGGCTAAAGTAAAGGCTCTGAAATGTACTCAAAGTATAAAAGTAAAAGGTACTCTCTTGGTTTCTCTGAAGGATGTTTTCTGGCTCTTTCTGTGCAGAGAGCTAACTGAAACTTTACATACACATAGGGTCGAGTCTCCCTCTCTTGTGCGTTACATCTTTTATGTTGTTTTCGTCATGTTATGTCTGTCATGCGTGATAAATGGCTGAACAAGGGAAGGACTATGAAGTTTAATGCAATAGCTGCTGGAACCCAATCCAGAGGGGTACAAGAAGGAATCCATAAAGGTCATCTGCACAGGGAGGCCAGGGGAAGTTTTATCTTTGAGTTCCTTCTTCTTCTGACATTTATCTCTTACCACACTTCCTCATCTGTATTTGCAGCCACACACATGTTCAGCTCACATATCCCATATATGGCTGGCATTTTGAAAGAGAAGCTGGCTGTAATCATTACACTCCTGTTCCCATCTTTTCATCAGTTAGACATTCTCCTCCTCATCTGGTGAATCTGTGTTCCACCTCGGTGAGCAGACTTTACCAATCCTCCGCTCTGTCTGCGCGGCATAAAGCATGTAGAGCACAGTGCTACGGTGCTGGCTGCCTCATCAAATAATAGAATGTATTAAATATACATTGCATGGATCTTACAGCCTCAGAAACAACCTCACACTCAGTATGGAGCCTGTTTTTTAAATTCACAAAGAACATCTAATTATTAATTTTCACTGCGCTCTGAAAACGACTCATTGAAGAGCTCATTTACGGCAGCTTCGTTCTCTCTGAAGGCAGCCTGTCTGATAGCTGTGCTAATTTTCCTCTCATATATCTCGCTGCTTGGTACAAATAACACCATGATACAAACAACAACATAATGTGGAGCATAGATAAGAATGTATTTATGCCTCACAAAGAATCATACAGGGCCAGTCTGAATGTTTTTGGGGACTTGAAAGAGCACTGGGTCTTGTTCTCTCTAAAACAAAAAGGAATACTTGTTCAGTTCTGTGGCAGACTGATGAAAGTGCAAACATATGCAAAAATATATCTTTACAGCACTCACAGATAAATCACTTTTTATTATCTATGGTCACTTAGGGATTCCAACTTTTGAATAAAATCAAATTCACTCAGAAATATGTCAGAAGCTAAAGATGCTCTAACTGCACTTTCAAATAAGGAGACCAGTGACCACCACTGAAATCTGATTGGCCACCTCATTATCCTTCCCTCCTCCACTCCGCACTGTCTTTCAGAGGCTGTGACGGGCTCCATATGAAGACAAATACTTCGTGCCACCCCTGCATAAGTCAGTGCCCCACTTGTACCACCCCAGTCAAAAAAAGTCTTGAAACGCCTCTGAGCGTCAACAAAGGGTTTGCCAAAGTTTCAGTAACTTGTTCTGAAACTGTTGGGTTGGGTTGAGGGGCCTTTGTGGCAAAACTTTTCAGTGCGATGTTTCTGGGGAACACTTCTTTCCACAAATTAGCCGAGAAACTCATACTGGGACATGCAATAAAGAAAGTTGTTTAGTCTGTACAGACTTCATCCCGCCTGTTTACTGCCCCCAACACTTGACGATTCATAATGCATAGAGGCCTAGATTTCTTTGTAATGAATGAATAAATGCATCATGTTTGAATTATTAAACAGTGACATGACCTGCGTGTCTTAGCTGATTGGCTGTTTACACCACTGATGTGGAAGATAAATAAACCGCCTCGACCCGGCAGTCGTCTTCATTGTTGGATTCATCCTCCGTCGTATTCCTGCCGGGCTTTAAGACAGAGCAACAAACACGAGGCCGGCGACACACGCAGACGCCAAGAGGAAGAAGACCAGGATTTCCATGAATTAGTACAAACACAGATTAATTAAACATCAGAGCAGCTTCGACTTCTGAATTCCCGCCACCACCGTCTCCAAAAACAGACGATCTATCAGAGGGAGGACACAGAAGGCCTGTCTATACTCAAGATTGACACAGATTCAGAGGAGAAAAAAAACTTGCTAAAACTGGCTAGGACATCAGCGCCGTCACAACAGGAAGTTTGCTGGCAGGACTGAGTGGGAGGCTGGCTGCCATTGACGCAGGAATGAGACGAAGGAAAGACATAAAAGACAGGATATGCCCAGAATAAACGAGGAGAGGCTTTTTCTACAGAGATAAAAAAAGAAAGTTACCACAATAATCTTAAAAAAGACACAGAGTCACACAACATGGAATAAGGTCACAATTAGGTCTATTTCCAGATAATAAAAAAAGATTACAGTCATTACAGGAGTTATTACATCCCCACTTTAAAAAAAAAAGATACATTCGGAAAATAAAACAAAAAATAGGCTAAATTATACATTTTGATTTTTGTAGCATATTTTCAATAAAAATGAAAGAATTAATTTAAGTTGCAGCAGTTTTCAGATACAATCGAGTCCCAGGTTTGCTTTATCGGTCCGTTTGTGCCTTTTCAAAACTGTGCTGCATTTAGCGTCCTTCATTCATCGTATTTGCTGAAATTATGTCAACTGGCTTTACAAAGACAAAAAGAAAACATGATTCAACAACATTAAAACAGAGAGCAAGATCATTTCTTCTCGTATCAGCTAAATAACACAGATTGCCATAACTAGATTCTATGACTGAATATTAAAATAAATCACGTTCCTTCATTTATTAGAGCAAGAACCAATTTGCATATTCACAGATATTGTAAAAAGAGCGATAGAAAATTTCCATAAAAATGTACACCGCCATTCCTTCATCAGAAAAATACAAAATAAATCTATCTTAGTGGTTTTAAATGAGCCAGGGTAACTGGACAGAGCTGCTCTGTCGCAGATGAAACAAAGCACGTCAGACAGTGTGTCGCCCTCTGAGCATCTTTTTACCTTCCGACTAAATACAAACAGCTGTTTTCAGTCTGATCGAGTGTGTTCTCCGATACCTGGTTCATGCAGGTGTAGAACAATTCATGACTTATCACCTGAATCCTAAAGACAAACCTTAGTGTTGCTTAAAATAGATTTCAGAAGCCAGACAGATGACAATGTGCAACACTTTTCTTTAGTTTTAAGGTCATTAAAAAACAGATTTTGTGCCAATTTTGGTTATTTTCTGTATTTGAGTTTTCTGTATTTGTGTTTCTCTCTTTGCTTTTCAGAGTGGACAGAGCTCAGTTGAATGTTAAACTCATAAATAAAATCCAAGAGTATTTTTTTCCTCTAAACTTTACCCTTGATTGTTGTCAGTCCTTTTTTTTATTACTAGAAATACAAAAGTAATTTGAAACCAGGATTCAGGGGCTTCCAGTTCAATAAATAATAACACAAAAACACAACTGAAGCATCAAAATCATTAAAAATGTTGTTTGTATGTCAATATGATTTGAAAGTCCTGGATTTAATATGTGTGATTGATAAAGTTTTGGTCATATTTTCATTGTTCAAGCTGTGTTCAATGTCATTCATTGTTCAATGCATTTATTTTCAGAACATTTTTCCATTCTTGCTCCCTGATCTTGAAAGGTCAGTTCACCCAAATGTCACTTTTTCGATTTTCCCATTAACGTGCTATCTAGCAATGCAAATTGTTTTGTTTTGGAAACATCCACAGCTGAGACATCTGCCACCCCAATACGCTGGAGATAGTTTGTTTGTGCTGCTCAAAGCGCTGACATTGACATTTGAAAAACTCAACAGCAGCATGTGCCTCCACAAACAAAGTTCCAGGTTTTATTCAGAACTTTAAGTTGAAGATAAGTCTGATTGCAAGATAAAACTAACTGGGTAATTTCATTTGTTTTGTTACAGTTTTAAAATGAATGGGGGATCTTTTAGGGCACTTAGTATGTAAGACAAAGTCAGAGAGACAGACAAAGTCAGAGAGACAGACAAAGTCAGAGAGACAAAGCTTCCTTTCTCTAACAGAGTCCAGCTCCACATTCCACTCATTCTGCTGGGCATGACCTGACCGCAACTACAGCTGTATCTCTGTGTCCGTCTCACTGTATTCTGGGAATTCTTTGCTCTTTTTCGAGGTTCAGGAAATCCCTGCAAGGATACAGTGGTCACTTATAGACGCCGCTTCAGGACCTCACAGAAAAAAACCGTGAATGTTGATGCAGTCGCACAGACAGAAGCTCAGATAATAGTGTTATAAAGTACAGATCTGAACTTTGATTGTGCTGAAACAACCATTACATCCTGTTCCTGATCCTGCTACAGCGACACATGAGGTAAAGCAGACTGAATGAACATACTACTGATCCAACAGCTGGATATCTACTGCTAATGTTAGCTCATCTTTAAGCAGCTGAACACAGCAGATAAGGCTACCACTAACGGTTACTTTCATTATCGTTTCATTTGTCGGTCATTTTCTCAATTAACCGATTAGTTGTTTGGTCCATAAAATGTCAGAAAACGTCCTCAAATGTCTCGTTTTGTCCACAACCCAAAAATATTCAGTTCACTGTCATAGCGGACTAAAGAAACCAGAAAATGTTCACATTTGAGAAGTTGAAATCAGAGTATTTGGAATTTCTTTTTTTAGGGTTACAAATGCAAACTGATTGATTTTTCAATACATTTTAAAAATCACAGATTATTTAACAGATACATATATGAATTATTCGCAATCGTTGAAGCTCTAACACCAGATTCTCTCCGATGAGTCCAAAAAGTCTTAAGATTTACCAAAAGTGTTTTAACTACTTTGACTTTGGTTTTCACTTTTTCATTAGTAGATGAAGTGAAAATAAAGGAGAACAAAAATTCTTCTGCATGAATTATTGCTTCTCTTTTCATACAGACAGCTCAAATCTAAACTTGGGTGGAGATAACCTGTCAGAGCGATTACACAATATGACAAAAACAACCTGTCTGACTGAGCCGCTAATTTGTGTCTTTGGTCTGTCACTTAATGATCTGCTTGAATAAAATACACCTCTTTCATCTCTTTCTGTTGACAGCTCATTATCTTGCCTCTCTTTTGCTCCAAAATAACTTTTCACTAGCCCGCCCTCCACATGCCGCCCAGCTATCCATCGAGACTCTCTGTCAGGGTTTTTCGGGGGGAAATAAGATTCCACTTTCAGGTTCATCCAGTTCAAATTTTGTCATCGATGGAAGCCATTCTCATCACGCAGGTAATGCATGTATGTAAATAATCTGAATCTGCTCCCATAAATAATTATTTTTTTTTGAATTAGTATAACAAATGAACTTTTTCACATGGATTTTAATTCCCAGCATTATGTTTCTTGCTGCCAGAGGGCACTGTTTCACTCTGAACTGAAACCGAACTGGTGGAGACAGTTCAGGTTATGCTTCCAGCAATAGGAAGTGAACAGAAAAATGGGTGGCAAAACCAAGATTGCTGCTGGAGTCACAAAAAGTGCCCAGAGATCTTTAGATTCCAGTTTACACCTGGATTTTCATATTGATATACACAATCTTTTCATCCAGTTTTTTTTAAGTATTCAGAAATATGAATAAATAAATCCCAGATTTCTCTTCTCTTTAAAAAAAAAAATCAAAACAGAATCTACCTATTGATTGGGATTTTGATAAATACCCCTACTGGCTGAGAGCTTTCAATAGTCACTTTCAGGGCCACAATCTGTGCCAAAGGCCAGCGTAGGAGAGAGCAACTTCTAAACCTCCTACTGGACCAAAAAGGAGTCAGAAATAATTGAATATGGATGACGCTGAGGGTCAAAAGGTTTCCAGTCCTGGTCAAACTCCGACAGAAACTGCTGCTTGACATTTTGTACCAAATGAACTGAAAGTGAACTCCCCCGAGACCCTTCCTTCTCTAACACATTCACATTCGTTCAGCCTCTTCCTCTCGTTTCCTTCAACTCCTCCCGAGTCTGCATTCAGTTCTCCAGATTTACTACAAATATGATTCCACTGCTAAAACTTAGTTATTCTAATTATACTGGATGTAAATGATGTCGCTGTATAACTCATATTAGTCGCAGTTAGTAATTGGCTTCACTGTAGCAGCGTTTGTATGACATGGACTAAAAATGTCAAAAAGGGTTTTTGAAATTAACGGCTTGATAATATAATAACTTAATACTGATTAGTACAACCCAAACTTTTATAGAAAAACAAATGAAGTAATAATGTTTTTTTCTTTTTCAGGAAACAGTCATATCACTTTGGAGTTGTTTTACGCCTGCCAGAAATTCATTAACAGGATTTTACATTTTCAGCCCATTTAAAGGGATATTTCATTCCATTAATTACATTCATTATTACATTATCTGGCATTATTGCATTCCTAAAGCAGACATGACACGTTCTTAGAGCTAAAACATGATGACTACACTGTGATAAAATTATATTCTTCAATAGTTATGTGTTCTGTATTTGAAATGTTACATTTGAAAAAAAGATCCTCTGCATTATATATATAATAATGAACCCTCACCTCTAAGCCATATTCTCTCTTGCTGCTTATTCATTATCTAGTGCTGGTCAGCCTTGTGTTCATATCACTAGGAAGAAGCTGGCAGTGTCATTAGCTGGGCCAGGTTGTATCACCGTGACCTTTAAACTCATCTAAAAAGTTTCTAAAAAGGTAAAAAGCATCAGATCCGGCCCCTGTCCTGGCTCCTGGAAGCACTTGTTCCCTTTTCCTCAAGCAAACCCTGGAGCAGGGCGAGTTATATAATTAAAAGTGGCAGTGAATATTTGATCTGCAGTTCTTATTGAAGTCTGTTTGATTTACCTCTTGAGCATCTGCAGTCGGAATTAGAAGAAAGAGTTCCAAACTTTTTGAGACATATTAAACTGGTGATCCCGGCTGTGCTGGTTACTCAAACGACAGCAGGTCTGGGTGGGGCTCCGAGTCTTCAGGACTCACTCCGGTGCCTTTACTGTAGGGGGCGCCGTTCCCCATGAGAACCTCCTCGCCCAGGCTGATGCGACAGGGAGTTTTCCCTGAGCAGGGGGTGGAGGCCAGCCGGGAGTCTGACACCTTCTGCCAGACGTCGGAGGGCTTAGCTCTGGGCTCCAGCTGCGGGGGGTCTTTGTTGATGAGGTCTGGCACAGAGAGCTGGAGCTGGGACTGATGTTCCTCCTCGCCTCCTTCAGTGCTCCCGTTTTCCACAGCATCTTCTTCTCCTTCTATCGCTCTATCAACCTTGCCGTTGCTTCCCGTCGTCTCCAAATCAGCAGCAGCTTTCTCCTCTGCTGGGTCCAGTGACAACGGGATCTCTTCTGACCCCTCCTCCTCCTTCTCGCCCTGCTGCTGCTCCTCATTGATCCTCAGCTCCTCCTTGGCGATGAGGGGTGTCTTGTCAGGAGAGGAGATGACGGTGGAAGACTCGGCAGTGTCCGGAGAGGAGACCACGGGGTCAGACGAGATCATCATGTCTTGGGTGGTCTTCAGCGCCCGAGGGAGGCGCTTCTTTCCTGATGGGGGTGGCGGGTCGAGCCGCGGGAAGGAGTCGAAGGAGGAGATGTGGCTGGAAGAGAGGAGAGAAGGGAAGGAGGAGAGAGCAAAAATTATTACAAAATTATAATTTATATTTATTATACACTTTAAGTGTTTTAAGTCTTTCAAACACTGTTGCCAGGTGACGGCCTTGTTCTGTTTTCAAGAATATATAATTTATTTTCTACATTTTTCTACGTGTCGTACAAGAAAACAGGTTGACAATAGGAGTAATTAAGAAAAGAAATACCTTTGGTTTTTATAAGAACATTAATAAAGTAACAAACTGGTGAGCTTTAGAAAGTATCCACTTCCAAAGTCATTAATTAAACTGCAGGAGGTTTGCAACACACGCAGTGTCTTCTTCACGAAAGAAACTAAACCCTAAAAAGGGAAAAATAAAAATCTTTTCTATTTTCCAGCAACACAGAATATAAACCATGTGTTTACACTGGTGAAAACTGTCAGAAACAGTTGAGATTTTAGGAAGAAGTGTTAAGCTGAAATGCACAATATGAATGAGATACAACAAATTAGAAACAGCTGATGCACTGTGTATTGATGAACTGTGTAAAATATAGATCGAATTAGAATTGTGGCCAAACCATTAGAAGGTGCAGGGTACAGCAAATCTAATGGCTGCTCATTGTGCACTAAAACTGTATAAAAACATACTTATTTCTCAGGTTGCTCCCTACAGTGACAGAAAATTACCATGGTAACCCACGGTGATAAGAAAGAACGTATTATTACCGCTGCATGACTGTTCACTGGAGCTGATAGGGATACAAACAAATAGTTCAATATGCACTGCTGTGCTGTATGAGAAAATAAAGAGGCCAAACATATTTTTGTTATCAGGGGATGGAAAACCTTGTATGTTCAGCAGGGTGTGTATGTCTTCTTCTCAGATGATTCGATATGTATCTGGATACACAGTCCATGGTCCAGTAGAAAAACAATACTGGTAAAGGTGTAATGATGTATTAATTTTCAAGCTGTTTTGAGTCAACTGCATTTGAATTGAAGATTTTTAGTAAAAGTTATACTTAACTTAATTTATTATTTCCTCAACTTTCATTTCAAATACCCCAGAAATGTCTTCTGACACACCCAGAGTAGTAAACACATAACCTGGTTTGTTACACAGAACCATCTTAAGCTGTCATTACGACTTGGTATGTGATTGGATGAACCAATGGTGTTTCACTGTCTATCACTGGCAAACCAATCAGATAAAACAAACATAATGTAGTCAAGCTACTACTGAAGTTAGTGAGGAGAAGAGCAAAAACATATTTGCCATCAAGAAAAGCCTTCAGTGCCGTTCTTTCCCCTTCTTTCAATGAAGAAATACTCTCCTGTTCTGATATAACTGATACCAGCAGCATCCATGCTAACCTCTTTAGCAGCCACCATTGTTGTCTTCAAGCAAACAGCCAGTTCTCAAACACTTTGTCACACTTTGCGTTAAATCACAGCCATAGCTTATGTCATAGCCTCCAGTAGATCCTCACAAGATGCTGATTGGTCCGTAAGCACTGTGTTCAGACACAAGCGCCGAGCTCGAAGCCTGGAAAGATGGATTCTCGCATGATCTTACGAATCCAGCTGCCTCGCAGGTTTAGTGGATGATACACGACTAACTCGGTCAGTCAGTTTTTTCTACAACATGCTGCTGGCTGGGTATGTTTACCTCAGTTCCTGCTGTATTGGTGCATGTTCTTACAGGAACAACACAGCACAAGGCTTCAGGGACAGTTTTGCCTTCAACCAGGAGAAGTTAGGAACATGGTTTGTGGTGATGTCAGCAAATTCATGGCACTGCTGCGTCAGGCAGCGTTATGGCTTCTTGTGTATCGATGTAGACTTTTTAGACAACATCATTAACTGTGCAAATACTCGAATAAATCAACAGAAAATGAGAGATGCTCCTGAATGCCCTGGGGTCGAGTCCACTGAACATTTTATCTCAGGCATCTCGGTTTAAACATCAGGGAGTCCATCAGTTGTTATGTTAAAAAAAAAATCTAAGCTCCACCCATCCGGATCAGTTGGTGGTACGGCAAAATCTTTACAAATCACTGATAAATTTAGCTAAATCTATTCACAGTCCAGTAAATTGAGACAAATGGGAGCAGAGCTGCTAAAAAATGACTTCTGCTTGACTGATCTTCAGTTGAAGAGACAACAGATCAATGCTTGTGGAACAAATCCCCAAATACAGACACACAGAAACAACCTGGCTGGAAAGCATGAGTGAATGTATGTTAGCAGGTAATGAATACACAATTAGAAGCCATTTCCATTTTGACTGGATGAGAAGCTGAAAAGTTCAGTCTTATTACATTTCACATGTCTCACAGGCGCCTTTGATGTGTCATTATTAATTTAAAACCACATTTCACAGGAAAAGTCTTAAATCATTCACCTTTCCTGAAATTACAGGGACAGACACACTCAGACTGGGTAATTTAATATTTTTTTTTTACCTACAATAAGATAATGTCTTTCAGTAGTTTTATCATTAAATTGAATGTGTGGCCCTGGAAAGTTTTGCGATTTCTACATATTCATCCACAAAATGAATACAAGAAATGACTTGTTTAATCAGAGAGGTCAAAAGTAAACCAAACTGCCTGAGTTAGTGTGTGGGATTAAACCAACCAGCAACCTTTGAGACACAAATCTGAAAATTCATTTAGGAGAATAAAGGTTTAATTCATAATGATTTGGGGTTCAGGATTAATATACAAATTCCAATAAAAATGAAGACAGGTTAAATTTAGACTCACCATGTAAAAGTACTTTCTTCACAACACAAATAGCAGGAAATATAGGCGTGTGTGGGTTTTTGTACCTGTTTGCAGTGGTCTGGTTGAGTTGGTCCATACTCCACACAGCACCGACATTCTTGTTAACCTCAGTGACCCCAATGTCCCCAATGTGGCTGGGCTCCTTTCTTCTTAACAAGTCATTGACCTGAAAGAAAGAAAGAAAGAAAGAAAGAAAGAAAGAAAGAAAGAAAGACAGAAAGAAAAAGATAAGAAATATGAAACAAAGAGGAAAGAAAGACAAAAAGAAAGAAAGGTATTTTTGAATTAAATTACTCCACTGATGCAACAATAAAATAATGAAACTGACTCTATGACCCAAATATTCACAGTTAAGGGAACCTGCAGGTGTGGTGTGGACCTGCAGAACTTAATGCTTTGTGCTGTGCTAACCTTTGCGCCGACAGCTTTGCCCAGATTAATGGCATTCTTAAGCCTCTGTTGGCCTCCGGAGGATGGAGAGTCGATGGAGCTGGACCCCAGGTTAGGATTAGCTGACGCTGGGGAGCGTCGGGCCGAGGTCTGGCCTGGCCTGGAGATCTGTGGACTTTGCTGCTGGGCAATGGAGTTCTCAAACATACTTTGATCGACTGGAATAAAGAAAGAAGACAGGGGAAAGAAAAGGTGAATACACAGCAGGATTTAGCAGAAGATGTGTATCTGCTTTTAACAGCACATGCTGCAAAGCTGCAGACCCTTCAAGCTGAGGATGAGATGCACAAACTGAGTTCTTGAAGGGAAGTAAAAGGAATACTCCACCGAAGATTGCATGAATGCTGTTGATTAATGTTTGCACTTTGGGCCTCAATTGAATTACCATTATAACTGCTGCCAATCCAAGCTGAATAAAACTACTACTCGCCACAAACAAGCATCTGGTGGAGTATACCTTTAAGTGACCATGTTCCTCTCCTGTGTCGCTCTGCAGCTTTGAACACAACATGCATGACCACAGCAAGGTATTTCATGGGAATGCGTGCAACACGAGGGCCAGATGGCAGTGTAGTTTTATTGTATGTACTGATCTTGGAATAACATTTAAATCAAAACTGAACACATGCAAATAAACAGCAATAACACTAATGGAAATGAAGAGGGAACTGACCAAAATACAGGCTCAGAAACAGCAAAACATGAAAGGGGAGCTCTGGTGGTTGTCAATCCACTTAAGACAGAAGATCTTACCTCTTGGAGAGAAATGTTTCTCGGAAGGCATTTAATGAGAAAGAAGTATCAGATTTCAGATCATTTTACCTCTAAAGACGCAGATCAATGAACTGATCCTGCTCAAACACAAAAATGTTGCTGATTCATGTCTTCTACAAGAAGACAAGTCAGAGGAGGTAATGGGTAAGAGTGCAGCCTGGAGATGCATACACATATCCCGAAGGTATAGTATCTCGGCCAGATAAATGGAGAGAAAATATCACCATTTGGAATCAGTTGGAGCATCAAACTTGGTAACCTTGACTTCCCTTTGCACACAAAAGCCTTTTTCACTTACTCAGCCAATCAAGAGATCTACAAGAGCACATTAGCCAGAGGCCAGAGGAAATGTCGTCCAATATTATGAATCAACATGATACTGAGGGCGTTTAGAGTAACTTCAAGGAGACAGGGATATAAGAACAGAGAGAAAGGTATACATTTACTTAACAGCATAAAGCACTTATTCATAGGAGTCATCAAATCACAAAGCAATCGCCACAGCAGGGAGGTGTAAAGTGGAACCACAGAGGACCTTGCAATGAATGGAATTATATAGTAGATCCTGTGCAGGTAGCCACATTCAAACCTGTTCTGCTCTCTGTTTGAGTGTATTTTAAGCAGCAACAAGGAACTTTTAGTTTTTGTTGATGCTGGCGGCCCCTGTGGACAAAAGCGGTAGAGTTTCTACTGCTTTGTTTCAATGATGTCAGGGGAAATCCGACTGGATACGACTGAATCTGACCCAGAGGGCATTAAGAAGAAGATGAATGTGGTGTTATTAGGCTACTGAAAAATAGCACAACATTGGTGTGGACCTAAGATGAAATACAGTCCAGAAGTCCCGTTAGAATAAGTGTAAGTTTGAAGATCTCATTGGAGAATTTCATACCCTTAGCTTACAAAGCTCATTGAGAGGACAGTATAAATTCTATGTAAATAGCTTCTTGCCCATTTATTACAATGATATAAAAGGCACTTAATTGCCTGAGGCTTTGCTCAATGTTCTGCCTGTTGGCCAAGGTCATTCAGGGTGTACTGACGGTACATCAAGGTCATTGAGTGATCTCAGGATCAATAGTGACACATTGCACAGGCTATAAAACATCCTTATTGATCCTATCAGACAACGAAGCCACGTATCCCTCCCACTTTAACTCCTAATGGAGAGGTAATGGATGGACTTTGAAATGTAGTAAGCCCCTTGAAGGGCTCCATGAAGGACACTAGAAAGGGAAGATGTTAGTGCACAATGCCTAACAATGCGCTCTGGAAAATGTATGTCTAATTAAAAACATTTAATGTTTTGCAGCTTTTCTCTCAACTTGTCTTCTAGAAGCTCATACTGCTGAAAAGGTGAAACCCGCTGTTTGGAAATGTGCCCAGGTGTCTCAGTCTGGCTCATTTACACACAGATGTGATTTATCATCACTATTTATGACCATTTCTCCGCTGGACTGTCCCTGAGCCAGCTCTGAAACTCTCTGCTGTTATGTTTCCTGTATACTCTAAACGAATGCAAATTCTGTGATTTCTCAAAGGCTGTCAAATAAAGTGCTGTGTGCAAATGCCAGTATACCCACAGTGATTAGAGGTCAGTTTGTCCCCACCAAAGTGAGTTACAGTAAAGGAGATGAGGTTGGAAATATACCATTAGTGAAATCCATGAAAACAATAATGATTTAGATATGGCATTTTGCCTTCATTTGATACTAATGATATAGACATGTTATGGCAGGGAGAGAGGGAGAGAGAGAGAGAGAGAGAGAGAGAGAGAGAGAGAGAGAGAGAGAGAGAGAGAGACGGAGATAATATGTGACTAAGGTCCCTGGCTAAAGTAAAACTGGGGATATTATAGATTATAAGATTATGTGGGAGCCAGATATTGGGCAGCTGGTGGTATCAATTTTTATAGTAACAAAAAAAAAGCATGGAAAAATGTACCCTAATTTTAAGTATGTGCGGAGATCTTTGATTATTAAGTGACTGCTTTCATTAAATACAAATGTTCTCAAAATCAAATCTAAAAATGCTACATTTCGTTTTACATTGTGTGCTTTCTATCTAGATATTCAGCTTGCTGTATGCAGGAACTGGCAGACCCTTGTGCATTCAGGGAAGTCTGACTACATAGGATCATCACCAACGTACATGAAGTAGCAGAAAAACAGCTGGGGAAATTTTAAACACAACAAAACAAGGCTATTGAAGGCCATTCAAGAATTATGTACAGTTTAACACAACAGGCACTAGATGTTATCCTATAGGAACTTGACGATCAAGAAGGGTTTGGGTGTATAAATATTGTCTCATTAAGGAAATGAAGAATGAGTTTGTTGTCCCTACGGGGGTGCTTACGGGTTACGTCACGGACATACAGTGTTCCAAGAAAGCCTTGCTGCAACCGTTGGTGTATCTCCATAGGAAAACAATGTCTAACGCCAGCGCTAAATGGTGGAAATAAAGACAGAGGGCTAAATGTAAAATGCTGTCTAAGGCTACATGTGAATCACACAACTGATAACATGATATTGTAATATAAATAAAACACTCAGCACAGCGCACACTGTATTGTACAAGGGCCAATGGCCGAGTGCTTTCATTTGGAACACTCACTGTTCATATTCGCAGCTTTACTCCTTTGAATGGTGCCCTTTTTAAATCAATTTCTTCCTCCTCCAAATCTCACCACCATGCAGCACTCACAGAAATGTTAGATGGAAGGGAACCATGTGCAGCTAAAGCTTTTCAGTCTATCACAATGCCTGGTGAACACCATTCTTTCTCTCTTTCTGTGAGCCGCTTGTCTCTAGAGAAAATGTTATTTCAATACCCACACATTGAAAGATCTGACGTTAGCGAGTCCTGTGTCCTCCTGACAGGATGCTCATTCACTGCTGTTTAACAGACACTTTGTTCGATTTGTCACTTCCTTTGCTGAGATTTCCCAGCAGCGTCTGTACCTCACAGCGGAGAATTTCATTTGGGCAAACATTTAATCTATGTCCTCCCAATTAGAGGAGATGGGACCGTCCTCTGTGCTGCAGCCCCACTGTGATTTAAGCTGATGAAACAGGTGGATTTCTTCTACAAATCTTACTTACTGAAGCATTAAAATTAGAGAATTGTAATATTTCAGTGAAGTCTGTTCTAAATCAAGCAGTGCGTTGTATATTTCAGCTGAAACTGTCTAACATTTGGTTTTAAACTAAGCATAGTTTTAATGAAAGGTCGTTAGAAGAAGAAGCAGTCTGTCAGGCACACTGTTTGTAAGTCCACAAATACCAACATGCATATTAAAATCAGAGCGCAGTGTTCAAGGACACGGTTGCACCACAACAAAAACCAGAGCAGCAACTCATAACTAACAAAAAAGGACAAAACAAGGTTTGGAATTTGGTGAAATGTCTACAGTTCAAAAAACAAGAAATAAAGTAATTAAAGCATGTGAAATAAAAAATAGCAACTTTGTAATGCTACGGATTTTGCACAACTTGTATCATTTTTGACAAATCAATCGACTGCACACCCCCAACCCAAGAAACACGTTGTCATGGAGACAAGTGAGTTATAGCTGTCGGCTATCATTTTAGCTTATTTTGGCAAAATATAACACCAATAAAAGCGTGCCGAGTTATCTTCTAGCAATATGTTTGCAATGTACCTGGATGCACTGTCAATGTATCATTGGATTACTTTGATATTAAAGGAAACGTAAGTTCTGCAGTTAAAGGGAACATCTTTTTCCTATGATTTCTGAGTGGGTTTATGGACGATAATTCGTAATGTTCATAAGTTTTGAGTGAGTGATTTATAACTCTGAGAAGAAGTGGCTTATAATTGCCTCCATGAGCTGCGAGACACAGACACTGCAGCAGTGTTGATAAGGGGATCACATCAGCAGGTCAACTACAGTAAGTACCTTCCTGTTGTTTTCAGAACAGCAGCACCCGCCCCTTTCACATCCTGCAGTATCTCTGTCTCACGTCTCTTCTTCCACACTGCCCCTTCTTCATCAGAGTGAATATAAGAGTTTAAGAGACTTTCACTACTGCATTCTGTTTGTTTAGCTCTGGAGGATTGTGTAACACTGGCAGATTAATGTATGTGTTAATTACCAACACGCCTGAAGGATTCCATCTGTAATAATGATCGTTCATTAATGCTGAAAGGAGGATTTCTCTCTGTCTTTCTTCAGGAGCTTCTGTGAGTTAACAGCATTAGTCAAACAACAGACAGATTAGAAACAATACAGAACTGGGAAGGCTATTTCCAGTTGTAATCCAATGTGTAACCCCCCCCATACTCTCAGGTGATTTGTGGTTAAATTTCAGTAATTTCATCACATGTAATCCGTCTCTTCTGCACCCTGCAGAACAGAAAC